AAACAAACCAACCAAGCTTGAGACTTGGGGGACAACTAGAAGTAAAACTGATGATTGAACAAGTCAGTGTTCCATTACTGTTGCAAGGACCTGGGAGAAATCAACCTAAAAGGGCGAAAGGCTTATTCTTGCAAGGGTTCCAGGGTTTCATTCCAGAGCTGCAAGGAAGGGAGGGTGGGAATGTGTGGTGTGGAGAGGGGACTGGGGAGGGAGGGTCCTACTCTCCCAGAGGCCACACGGCCCTAATGACTGCTCCCTCAAATCCCCACCCTTCCCAGCTCCTCCTCCACCTGCCAGGGGCACCACAACTGGGGCTCCGCCTCTAACACCTGGGCTTCCCGGAGACATTTGAGAGGCAAGCTACTGCAATGACAAAAATCCAAATTCCACATATGTGGAAGAAGCCCCTCATAACACATTCACAGTATGTGTCTTGCAGATGGCCAAAATAAGCTGAGTTCTATTCTAGCTTTTCTGAAGTGTTTTTTTAAATCCTACTAGAAGCTATCATCTTTCAAACCAATTGGCTGGTTATATAGAAACTAGTTATGCTGCAGCTAAAGTTTGCTAATGTAAGTTTGTTTGTTCAGCACATTTATCCAGCTAATGTGGCACTGGTCTGATGGAAGTAATGTGTTCAGCTGGCACGTGACCATCCGCACATCATTCAAGCACCGGATAACGACTTTCCAAACCTGTGATGCAGACTACCAAGCCTGCACACAAGTGCATTTTCATTTGAGAACAACCAAAAAACTACATAGTGCACATACTGCAATGGCGTTACAGGTAAGCTGTATGCAAAGTTGTCTTTGTATACACGGGAACTCGTTATGCAAATGTTCTGCTGATACAAACACAGCCTAAGAAGAGATTTACCTCCTGCAGTCAACAGCTACTCTTTGTATAAATTTGCATCTTAAAATTTTAATCAAAACTTTCTATTTTTAGAAATGTTGGTCCACGTGCACAGTAGAATCCTGCAGATGACACAGAGGATGCAAACGCACAGGTTCTCAGGGCTGTAAGAAACCTGTTGCCTTGCTTCAAAAACAACTCATGGGAGCCAAGTCACAACCGAGCAGAGCAAGGCGATTTGAAAGCCTGATGAATGCACACAGTGGAAAACATCCCTAACTGCACGCAGCTGCAGTCTGCACTACCTTAATGCCCCTGTGATTACATCCTCTGGGCTCCAAGAGTCCATAAAGGAACTCTTTTCTAAAGGTACAGCTGACTTGAAAGATTTACTAAAGCTTGAGCCAACAGCTCTTCTAGACAATATAATTGTCAAAGCAGTATATTGCTAATTACATTTTTATTGTTAACTTTTGCCACTGAAATTGCTCTTCAATTGTTTGTTTTGGAACAGACACATAAAATACCATGACAGCAATATTTTGGCACACATTGGAAAATCTGCCATGAATAAAGATTTTTCCCAATAAAATAGAGTCTGCCTATGTTACTTGGCATTAAAATGACTTATTGAAGTAGCCAAAACATAAACCACTGACCTAAAGTGAAAGATTAGATTATAGCAACACCCAAAGGCCAATATATCCAACTTCACTTGGAAGGCACGTTTTAAAGCAACTTCTACTTTTTGGAAAAAGGCAAAATAGAAAAAAGAATGTCCCTCATCCCGTTCCCCTGGTAGCGGTGCCCCTCATGGCTGGCCTTCTTCAGAGCCTCGCTCACTGAGCTGACCCCAGGCCACAGAGGGAGGCTGTGAGCCCACAACCTGCTCAACGCAGGCAGCGCCCACTGTGGTGCCCTCCGCCTGCCGAGGGCCACGCAGAGCTCAGACACAGGTGGGTGGCCGGGGAGCAGCGCCCAGCTCCCAGGAAGGCCACGCTGCACACGCACTCACCGTCCCCGCTTCTCCCTTGTGGGGAGGACCAATAAGTTCATCCTCAACTATAGACCTGCCTGCAGAGAGGCCCTCGGGGGCAACTAGATTCACCCACCCTTGTTCTTGGCTGATGTGCTGCTAGGAGCTGGGGCCCGGATGCAGGCAGCTCCAGGAGCTGCCTCTGCCCGACCAACCTGTAGGCTTTCCCAGCCCGCCGTGGTGCTCCTGCCTCAGAGCCAGACCAACGGAGGAGCCGGAAACTCTCGGAGCTGAGAGCAGAAAAAACCCTCAGCTCCTCTAAGCTGCAGGTGGTGTCAGGGATGAAGCACCAGCAATGGAAAAGCTGGTCGATGCACCTGGCCTGGTACAAACAAGGAAAAGGGCAGCTGGGAGTCCAGACAGCTGAAGCGCTCTACCTGCTCTGCCACCGCGCTCCTTGCAGAGCTGTCAGTCCCTTGGCTGGCGTCACGAGCGTCACCCACGGGACTGCACCTTTCAGTTCCCGTCCCCGGGAGCCCAAAGGGCACAGGCACCCAGGTTTCCAGCAGATGCCTGTGACCCGGTGCCCGATGCGCCCACGTCCTCACCCCTGGCTGCCTGCTCAACCTCCTGGATGTTTTTACCTCCCACAACTCAAGGCTCAGGGAGGGGAGACTTTTTTTTTTAAGTAGAGGAAACTGTCTGATTTTGAAGGGTACACATTGTTTGCAAAGCCAAAAAAAATAGGAAGTAGCCAGAGTATAGGCCCTGCGTGATTTCATCTCAAACTTTCCTTGGGCCTCACACCCAACGGTTTCTCCAAGCTCCCAGGACTCAGGCACATTTCAGTACTCAGTGCCCTGCTCTGCCCAGACCATGCCTAAAGCCCCTCACTCCCTCACAGCAGCCACCACCCACTGGGCAGAGCCACTAACCCTGGCGCCCAGGGCTGGGCTCACAATGCATCCCGAAGGACTGCTTCTCCTGCCCCCAAATAACAAAACTGCCAGGATCCGCGAAGCCACACCCAGCGGCCCAGCCAAGCTGAAGGTTCCTCGACTCTAGGACCCATCAGGGCGAAGATGCACCATTATCTCATCAGCACCAAGGGAGAAAAATGCTACCAATTAAGTTGACGTGGCTTCTTCTTACTCAGAAGTTTTATTTTCTTGTTATTGAAAAAGCTCTTTTAGACTTATTCAGAAATGGATTTTTATAATATATCACTCTCAGGCATTTATAAAAAGGAGCGTAAAAGTGAAATAAATTGTTTAAGCCATGACAAGCAGGTCACCCGGCTGAAAGCAACTGTAAAATGCCATTGCTTTGGAAAGTAGACTTTGATTTCAGAAATGTTACAATCTGAGAAACATGAGAATCACAGGCAATAAAACAGTGTATTATATATATATCAGTAACAAAAAGTTTTAAAAGACAAGGCAATAGTTCACAGGATACCTGCTACAATCACCTTGCATTGATTTAAAAATGTATTTGTACAGAGGAAAAAGCTCTGATTACTTAACCCAGGAAAGAAAGAAGTACAACAGAAATGTAATAATGCTCTTCAGGGATGTGAGGCAGTGACTTGACCTCTTTTTACTGCTGGGCAGCAGGATTTGTTTTTAAATACCACCCTAGCAAAGACCCTAAGCGTGGGCTGCTCAGCTCAGGGCGAGAACCACCAGTGAGGCTCTGGGGCCCACCGGGACTGCAGCGTTGAAGGCGGCCCATCCCTTCAGCGCTCCGGGGTGGAGACAAGCACTGCCTAGACTCCGGGCCTTGGAGGACAGCCAGAGACCAGGGCCACTGCTGTCAGTCCCCAAAGGAGAGGCACTGCATCACAGGTGCTGGAGGAGGAGGAGCCACACCTGCAGCTGGGCCCTTCCAGCTGGCGCCCAATGTGGCTGCGAGGACAGCTTCGGCTCCTGCCCTACGTCCAGGCACACAGCCAAGCTGCACAGCTGTGGTACTGGTCCTCCAAAGCAAGTCCAACTCTGCAACACAACAGCACCCTTCTTAACACCCACTCTCAGCCCTCGGTGGCCGCGTCTCCCTTCTCTGTCCCTTCTCCAGACTCCGCTCAGAAACCCCGCTGAGCACTCCGCACGCTCCAGCTCGCTGCCATCTGGGCCCTGGGCCAGGCTGCAGAACACACCACTCGACCCTACACCACTCGGTGCAAGGGACTCCGCGCTGTGCTTCGGCTGTGGGCACACCAAAATCCTGCGTTACCATGCTCCAGGACAAAGAGCTGCGCTCTCCAGGGACAGTGGTCAGGCACCCTTCCTCCCTGCTGAGGTACAACGCGGCCCTCCGTCTCCTCCCACATTAGACCCCAGCAGCTCAACCCAGACCTTCCAGCCCTCAGAATGTAAGAAGCAAGATCCCGCTCACACCAGTGGATGGTCAGCACACTCTGAGGGAAAGGGTGGCCTGTTCTCAGAGAAAGGAAGATCTCCACCTCCAAGGAGAACAGTCTGCAGGTGCTAAGAAAGCTCCTTTCCCACTGGATGGTCGCAGCTAACACCCCCAGTAACCAAGGCAGGCCAGCAGCTGAGGAAGCGGCCGACTCTGTGTCTCATGCTGTCACTGAGCTGTGGCACTAATGTTCCCGGAAGAAGGGACAATGCCCAGGAACCACAGGACACTCCATGGAAGGACACTGCTCAGCTAAAAGCAGCCACTCAGTTTCCCACCTAACCCTCAGAACCCGAGTCGATTCTGCACCCCATTTTATTCTCCACACACAGGAGCCACAAGTGGCTGTCGTTTCAGACTCCTGTCCCTACAGGAGTAGGAGAAGGGGGCACAAAGCCAGCCCAGCTCTACAGACAGCAACTCCCCACCGGCACAGGATGCGCACTTGAGGGAGGACTCCGTATCTCCGGCCACCTGCGTGGAGGCTCCTTTCTGGGCGGCGAAACATGTGGATTGGTTCAGCAGACGTAAAATGCAGACGACTGTGAAGGGTGGGCTACGAACAGCGCCTCCATGCAGGCCCCAAGCAGCACTCACCTTCACGGAGCAGAAAGCCCAGGCACGGGAGGCTCAGGATACGGAAAGAACCAGAGGCTCTGCGGTGGGGTCAAGGATGCACAGACAACCGCACGCTCGTCAAAACCTTTCAAACATTTCAATTTCACAAGCATGCTTCCTCTCTTACCAGTATCACTTCAAAAATGAGTGGCATCAGTTTGCTTTCTTCCACAAGTCTGTTTAAAAAAAGAGAAAGTAGCCACTTATTAGATGATGCACATGTGAGCCACCACGCTGACAGAGCCCTGAAACTCTGTTTTAACTGCTGAAACTCTGTGACTGAGAAAAAGCACGATTAAATCCCAACTTTAATACACTGAGCTGCAGCTCTTAAGCACAAGAAATGAGGCCACTCCCAAAGCAACTACTAGCTTTGCTTATTGATAAGCAGAAAGTGAAATATCAAGTAGATTGGTATTTTTAATGTGCAAATAAATTACAACTCACAATTATGAGAAAGACTATCAAAAAAGGTAAAGCTAGCAGAAATAATGCCCCTCACTGCACAGTTAAACTACATGCGTGCGACAATGTCATTGTTATATAAGCCTCATTAGCTGTCTTTTCAGCCTCTATAATACATTTTAACGGTCTTTAATTTTTAAGAAATTGGACAAATGTAACAGAATACTATGTTATTCAATTTAAGAGAAAAGAACCTTGATAAAATCAAAACCATTGCAATCAGTTTTTTTTAATAAGAACAATTATCTGATCACTCAACACCTTGTGCAAAATGTGGTAAACTCTGCGGCTCTGCAGGCCCCATCTCCACGGCAGCCACTCAACCCTGCCACCATCACAAAAGTGGCCGTAAGGAAGCACAGGTGGGCGTGGGTGTGAACCAGCAAATCTTTATGAAACATCAGGCAGGAGGCCACGCTGTGATTGCTCGCTCCTGCTTCAGTTCAGAAAAATCATATGCCTGCTTAACTCTATGACAACTCACTTTACAGGATAAACCCAAAGCTGAAGACAAGCAGCTGCAGGGCGCTACACAGCGCACGCACAGCGCGCTACCTCACAGAAAACACCAAGTAGGCAGGTGTAGGGGGCCATGAGGGGCCTCCTGGGGGCTGGGCTCTGACAATATACAGCTAAAGAAATGCCGCGAAACTGCTGCACCTGAAACAATCACAGTGTTCTCACAAAGTATTTTCCATTACGTTTATTTGTGCATTCTAGGTATACAGTTCAGTTACATTCATCACTGGGATCTTGTGCCTTTCCATGACAGGTCTTGATTGTCATTTTTCCCCATTCCCCTGTCTGCCCTTCACCCCCTCCACCCTTCCCTGTTTACAAAGACTCTTTCCATGTTTTTCCTTTTCTAATATTTTTTCTTTTCCCTTCTTACCTTTCCCTTACCCTTCCCACTTCCTCTATTCTTTTAGACCTTTTCTTCCTATTACACATTATCAATTATACATTTGGATCCTTATTTACACTTTCAGTTTTTCACACCAGAGAAACTTCCATATTTAACATGATCCTATTAATTTTATTTAAGAGTATGTCCTCAATGTGCATCCACTTAGCTATAAATGTCTCTAGTTTCTCATTCTTTGTGGCTGAGTAGTACTCCATTTTATAGAAAAAACACATCTTCTTTATCCAATCTCCAGTTGATGGGCAATTAGTAGGCTGTTTTCAAGTTTTAGCTATTACAAACTGTGCCTCTGCAAACATGGGTGCACATATATCGATGTGGTATGATTTTTTAATTCTTTTGGGAAGATACCAGCAGCAGAATAGCTAGGTCAAATGGGACCTCTATCCTAGCTGTGTGAGGTGCCTCCATATTGATTTCCACAGTGGTTGCACCAGTCTGCACTCCCACCAGCAGTGGAGCAGGGTTCCTTTCTCCTCACAACCCTGCAGGCATTTGTTATTGGCTAATTTCTTGATAACAGCCATTCTTACTGGGGTGAGATGGAATCTCAGTGTTGTTTTCATCAGCATCTCTCAAATGACCAGTGCATTTTTTCCTGATTACTTGCTGCTTTTACTTCTTTGTCTGAGAAATGTCTGTTCATTTCAGATACCCATTTCTGAATTGGGTCTTTATATCTGGGGGTCTGGTTTTTTTGAGTTCTTTATATATTCTAGATAGTAGAACTCTGAGGAAGAGTGGGTGAAAAATTTTCCCACAATGTGGGCTGTCTCTTAGCTCTGTTGGTGATTTCTCTGGCAGTGCAGCAGCTTTTTTAATAAGATGAGATCCCAGCTGATGATTCTTTGTGCTAGTTCCTGTGCTACCGAGGATTTGTCTACAAAGTCTTTTCCTACACCAGTATTTTCAAGAGTTCTACCTAACTTGTATTCCCGCAAGTTAAGTGTTTCTGTTTTAATATTTAGACCTATAATCTACTTGGGTCTTAGTTTAGTGCATGGTGAAGTTTTAATCTTTGGCAGGTTGAAATCCAGTTTTTCCAACACCATTTATTAAAGAGACTATCTTTCCTCCAGTGAGGATGGTTGGCTCCTTTGTCAAAGATGCGGTGGCTGAGTATGTCAGGACTTGTTTCTGCATCTTCTAACCTATCCCACTGATCTTTGGGTCTGTTCCTTTGCCAGTACCATGCTGCTTCCATCACAGTGGCTTTGTAGTATAGTTTCAAGCTGAGGATTGTGATATCCCCTGCCATGGCTCTGTTGCCTAGAATTGCTTTTGCTATTCTAGGTCTTTTCTGATTGAATTTTTTGATCGTTTTCTCTAGTTCTGTGAAATATACTGTTGGGATTTCAATAGGAATTGCACTGAATCTGTATAGCAGTTTTGGAAGTATGGCCATATTCACTATATTGATTCTTCCTATCCAGGAATAAGGGATGTCTTTCCATTTTCTTATGTCCTCTTTAATCTCTTTTTCAGAGTGCTGTAGTTCTCAATGCAGAAGTCTTTTGTTTCCTTTGTTAGATTGATTCCTAGATACTCATTTTTTTTGGATGCTATTATCAAAGGGATTATTTCCTTAATTTCAATCTCAGTGAATCTGTTATTTGTGTACAAGAAGGCTATTGATTTTTGAGTGTTTACCTTGTATCCAGGTACTTTACTAAATCTAAATCTGTCCATTAAATCTAGAAGTCTTTTGCTGGAGTTTTTCAGGTCTTCTACATAGAAAATCTTATCATCAGCAAATAATGACAGTTTAACTTCTTCCTTTCCTATCTTTCTTTGCTTTTATTTCTTTCTCTTGTCTACTTGCTGTGGCTAATGTTTCCAAAACTATACTGAACAGGAGTGGTGATAGTGGATATCCTTGTCTTGTTCCTCATTTTAACGTGCAGGTTTTCAGTTTTTGACCATTTAATATGATGCTGGTTTTTCATAGATAGCCTTTATCAAATTGATATAAAGACCATCTATTCCAATGTTCTGCAGAGTTTTTATCTTAAAGGGGGTGTTAAATTTTGTTGAATGCTTTTTCTGCATCTATAGAGATGTTCATATAGTTTTTGTCCTTGACTCTATTAACATAGCGTATTACATTTATTGATTTGCCTATGTTGGATCATCCTTGCATCCCTGGGATAAATCCAACTTGGTCAGGGTGTATGACCTCCTTGATGACCCTCTGCATTCTGTTTGCCGGTATCTTACTGAGGGTGTTTGCATCTATGTTCATTAGGGAGATTGGCCTCCGCCCGTCGTTCTCTTTTTTGATTGGGTCTTTCCCTGACTTTGGAATCAAAGTAAGGCTTGCTTCCAGTAATGAATTTGGAAGCACTGATTCATTTTTAATTTCATTGAAAAGTTTAAAGAGTAGAGGCAATAGTTCTTCTCTAAATGTCTTGTAGAATTCAGCAGTGAAGCCATAAGGACCTGGGCTTTTCTTTGTTGGTATGTTTTTAATTACATTTTCAATTTCACTTATTGTAATTGGGGTGTTTAGAATTTTTATATCTTCATTCAACTTTGGTAATTCATACGTATCTAGGAATCTCTCCATTTCTTCTGTGTTCTCCATTTTATTAGAGTACAGGTTCTTGAAGCAGGTATTGATGATCACCTGGATTTCTGCTGGATCTGTTGTGACTTCACCGTTTTCATTCCAGTTACATGAATTTGAGCCTTTCCTTGTTTTGATAAGGTTGGCTAAGGGTTTATCGATTTTATTTATTCTTTTGAAAAACCAACTCTTCGCTTCGTTGATATTTTATATGATTCTCTTAGTCTGTACTGCACTGATTTCTGCTAGAATCTTTATAATTTCCTCCCATGTATGAGCTCTGCATTTGTCTTGCTCTTCTTTTTCTAGGAGCTTAAGATTCACCATTAGGTTGTTTATCTGACCTTGCTCTGTTTTCGTAGTGTGGGCATTCACTGCTATGAATTTCCCACATAAAACTGCTTTCATTGTATCCTATAGATTGTTGTATGTTGTACTGGCATTATCACTAAATTGTGAAAACTGTATAATTGGGAAAGGGAGACAGACGTTTCCCAAAGAACAAGTAGCACGTAGGACCACCTTAATGTCTAGATGAAATAAGTGTGTTATTGCTTGCTGCAGTGCATTCACGGTCAACCTTTGTGCCCTCAGGTGACACACGGGGCACAGCAAACGTGGTCTACACACAAAGGGATGTTGCTTAGGCTTCAGAAAAAAAACAGTATTATGCCTTTAGATCAGGAGTCAACACATTTTCTGAAAAGATTCAGAAAGTAAGTATTTTAGGCTTTGCCAGACACAGGGTCTCTGCTTCTCATTTGTCTGTTTTCAAGGTTTACAACTCTTTTATAATGTAAATACCACTCACCTCCCAGCAAGCCACACACAATACCATCAAGGCACCCCTGGGCCAGAGTGTGCCACCCCATTGGCTGAAACATCCAGGAGCCCTCAGACCTGGGGCCTGGCCAAAGAGGACGTGCTGAGTGCACACTGGGCCTGCAAGTCACTAGAACAAATGTGGGCTATAACCCCAAGTGGTTCCTAGTAACTCCCACCAAGCAGCTATCCACTCCGGACCGAGAAATGACCGCAAAGTACTCGCGTGCACGTGGACCCACATTTAAACAGGGAGTTCCCCACATGTGTGTGGACTCACATGGGCAGACCTGCGGGGACACACTGTGGAAACAACCACCCTGGCTGCAGTCCAATTGCACAGCTCCAGCCTCACAGACCCAGAGCACACCTCAAGGACAGCCCGGCCCCTCTACCAC